GACCGTTATTCAAAATTTATTCGTTTTTAAAGAGTATAGTGCTAACTAACTGACAATGTCTTGATAAAGCAGAAGAGAAGAAATTTATATACTTGCGGCAAAAAAAAGAACATTTTTCGATTGTTCACTAGTAAAATAAACGTAATTATATTTTCGTTCGAACTTGAAAAAAGAATTGAAAAGTTTTCTACTAATATTTCGCTTTATACACGATGCTTTATCTACACAATTTGTAGTTTTAAAAGAACAATATTTAGTATCTCACGATCCGATAGTATCATATTCTGTATTAAAAATTATTGTACATAACATAGAAAACTAACTATACATGCTACAAAGAAATAAATAACCATAGAAATTAAGTTAATGTGGCAATTATTAAAAAAATAAAACTTCATTGTGGTAATAAATAAGAAATATCTTTTCTGCGTAATTATGTTTTGCGAAGAGACTGTTTAATCATAAATAGAAAAACAGCAAATTTTTTCTAATAAAGGAAAATAAACAGATTTGAATAACACTTGTAAATATGAGACAATTCTGTTAACTAGAAAGAGAAATTGGACGAATTTGACAGTAATTTTATTTACACAGTACTCTCAATTCTGTCTAACATTTCTTGTTTTCCATTACATGTGATAATTGACGTTTTAAATTTACTATTAATTATTGTGTTATTCTTTAATATATTACCATTTGAATTCACATTTTTATTCTGTTTATTTTCTTTGATTATTGGTAATGTATTATTAGTACTGGCAGATGTTCGTTTAAATTTAAAATATTTTCGTAATGGTGAATGTTGTAATATTTCTCCGATAACATGAAAAAATTCTTTTCGAAATTTTTTACCCGTTAAAAAATAGATATAAAATTCTAAAACTGTATCCAATAATGTTAACATACGTAATATTAAATAGACATTTGATGTTTTAACATCTTCTGTAAGTTTTGCACCATCATGTATAATATTTCTTGGTGCACGTCGAGATGTTTTAACATAGACATAAATACTTGCAATACTATTTGTAGTTAAAAATACACAACTTGTTGTTAATGTTATTGTTGTTTCGTAACTAACATCTTTCTTTGTTATAATATGCCTTAATGATGAACGATTCGGATCTGAACGTGAAAAACGTTTTTGTGATGATGATTTTGATGATGATGATGATGAAGATATAGCACCATTTCGATGAAGATCAACTTTTGATAATCTTGTTGTAGGACTTTTTAAAACACGTTTAATAATAATTATATTTGTAATAGCAACAATTGTAAATGGAATTAATGATGAGACAACAAAATTAACAATTGGTGCATTATATAATAGATCGGCCGTTGGTTCAAAACCATTAAACGAAAAATAGCCAATTTGTCGACCAAATATCACATTACAATAGGTAAAATCTTGATCTTTATGTTTTTGTAAACTTTTATAATAGAAAACATGCCAATTATAACATGCACCACATATCATCATTAGAATAATTAATAAAAATACATGTAAACGTGTACATTGTGGTAAACGTGTCGAATGAACAATAGTAATAACACGTGTCAAACAACATAAAACAACAAATCCGATTGACCATGATACAAATATATCACTACTTCGTGCAAGTAAACAAGTTATTCTTGAACTATTCATTTGTTCATCTTTTAAAAAAAATTTTGTGTCGAAAATAAAAGTACATAATAATGGTAATGTGTCGAAAATTGTTTTTAATAGTAATAACAAACCGGTTGATGTTCCACGCAACGGTTTACGTAAAAATATGATACAATTAAATACTTTACCAAATAAACCAAATGTAATTAGAACAACGCTAATAATTTGAATAATAAGAGTATATTTTGGACTTGTATCCGCGTATGATTGAGTGTGAGCACTTGAACATTGACCAATACAACCTAAATCGTACGATTCATTATTAAATAGTACCAATTCCTGACCGGATGATATATTTGCCAAACAAGATTGAAAACAATCGAATACAGGATTGGTCATGATTATAAGTTATATCATATTTCTAAAATAAGAAATATACAGTATTGTGGAAAATTATCAGAATTAGATCGATCTTACCGTTTATCCTTTAGTTTTTCTTCTGGTAAAAAGTCCAAAAAAGGAGAAAAACGTGTAAAGATATGTATTCGAGTGTCATCTTTACAAATATATTCTTAAAAGGTTTTAAAAAGTTCTTTATTTCTTTGAAAAAACATTTTTTCAAGAAATCATCATTTTCTTCCTGTAAAAACTTACAGGACTATCCATCCCATCTTTTTCTTTCGTGAATCAGTATGAATGAGCTGAAATAATTTTTAATGGCACAATTAGATTAAGCGTGAAACACTGACTATAACTGGCACGTTTTAAGACATGATCGTAGAATTCTGATAGTTTTTGAAAATTAGTTTTCTCTAAGACTTATTGCGTTTAAAACAGCTGAAAAATCAGTGAACCAGAGAAGTAAAAATATCTTCTCCTTTCGAGGATTAAAAGGAGTGTTTGATCGATAAAATGGGATGCTGCACAGTTCTTTAATACAAAGAATACATGTGCTGAACACGGATGCGAGTTAGAAGTCGCTTTTGGCGTGTAAATCACTGCATAAGTTTCGCTTTGTAACTCGCATCCATGTTCAGTACATGTATTCTTTGTATTAAAGAACTGTGCAGCATCCCATTTTATCGATCAAACACTCCTTT